TTCCTTTCTTTCTATGTGAGGTACCTAGAATAATTAGCTTATATTTCTTTTCTTTTCTGCAACAATCTTATGTTTTATGGTTTTCTTGTCTATATATTTCTTGGGGACAACCAAACATTAAATACGTCAGTATGAGCAGCACTGGAGGTGAATTGAGGGGCGGAAGAAAAAAATGAGTTATGGGTTCTTCAGTTCACATTGTGTAGCTTCTGTAAATAGTGCTCACCTGTAAATTGTGACTTGGCTGTCCAGGCATTTCTCTTAATTTAATGCAATCTTCAGTGCATATTGCATTCCTTGTGTACATACTAAATTTATATTGCCATTTTCAACAGTTTTCATACTGAATTGAGATCACTGGTTTTCTTCAGATTAGCAATCATAATTTTCTTCATATGCACTGAATATATATAGATTTCTAAAACAATTAAAATCAAGGCACGCTGTTTCGTCCGGTGTTTCTCTGTGGTCATATTTTATTTTACCACTGATAGTTCAACATTTTTTTTGCGGGGAGTTCAACATTCTTTCTACTCCAATTCTCCTCCTTTCATAATGTCGAAGTGAACGCTTGCATAGTTATTCGATCAAAAGTAGAAAAAAAAAACAAATTTAAGTTCAGAAACACGACGATACGCAAATGAAAGCAACAAAACAGACCATGCAAAGAACGGTCTTTCGAGAAAATAGTTTCCAATAAATACGACGGGGCTTTGTTGGTCCTTTAGGCTTAAGCCTTTTTTGGTTCATAGGGTAAGAAAATTATAAGAATAGAAAAATCATAGGAAATGAGATGACATGCATTTTAAATCCTTTTTTTTGAGCATCAGTACAGACACAAGTGTTCATATACACGCGCATACACTCACCCCTATGAACGCACGCACGCACATCCTATCCTTATGAGCACCTCCGAGAGACTGAGCCGGCATATCATCGTGGATGAATACTTGCTGTTTTCTAGATTTTTGAAGTCACCGTAGGCGCCTCGTCGTCGACGGAAACGTCTCCTTTCATTAAAAGTGCTTCGCCGGAAATCCTGAAATAAATCCAGGAATACTGCGAGCACCAGGATTTGAACCCTGGTGGGTTGGGGATACCACTGTCCACCTAACCAACTCAACCACAGGGTTGGGGACATGCACCTCAAATCCTATGAGTAGGAATAAGAAAGGAGATATTATTTGTTTCATATCATAGGATTTCTTTTTATTAAATTTAGGCTAATGTTTATTTTTCTATGAAATGTGAAGGATAGGAAGATTTTCTTGATAGGAATAGGATTCGATTCCTACAAACCAAAGAGCTATATAGGAATTTTTTCTATAAAAATCTTATCATATGAAGGCCTCAATTTGCTGTTCATAATTTTTTTATAATCCTGAGTGAAAAACTAGTTGCAAGAATAGATAAAAGCTGATTAACCAACAATATACATAACTAAAATTGAACTGCAGAGCTTCTCCCCTCTCGAAGATTTCTAACAAAGAAAACAACAGGCGCAAGAAAAGTCGATTGTAAGCTGAACCGGTTCGATCAACTCTGCCTGTTCGTGTCTCGGAGAGGAAGGCTTGTTAACTATCAGGCCAACCCCCTCAGACGATCAATGAGCTCCCCTTTCTTCAGCTTGGAGTAGCCTCTCATCCCCCTCACCCTCGCCATGTCCCTCAGCTCGGGCACCTTCATGTCCTCCAAATTTGGCTGCCCGTCTTGGTGCAGTCCCTCTGGAAGCACAAGCAACGCGATGATGGTTCAGAACAAAGGAAACATAATTATTTTCATCCTGATGCTGTCAAGTTACCGTGTGGTTGCAGCTTCATGCCGGCCTCTTGGAGCGTGCCAGCCGGCGACGACGGCTTCCTCGTCCTCCCGGGCGCCTTGGGCGAGTCCCTGGTAATGGCGGCCTGGATGCCGCTGAAGAACTCTATGAGCTCTTCTTTGCTGTGCTTCTTGACCGCCATTCTTGAAGGCGGATACCCGTTGGCTTCGGATCTGACCGTCAGGGAAGATGAGCAGGGCAGAGAACCCCGCAGTGGAGCGCGATGGAGAGCAAAATCTGCAGATGCCACCGAATTCAGGGCTTCAGACTTCGCCATAAGATTTTTTTCGGTCAGGTTGGAAGGGAGACTGAAACTAAGAGAGGGAGCCATGGCAGAGACTGCAATGGTGCCTGTTTCCTATATATCATTAAAATTGTACTAGTACAAAATGTATTCACCAATGTGGCAATGCAGGCACAATGACTGCAATGGTGCCTGTTTCCTATATATCATTAAACGCACTAACTAACTAACCTTGATGAAGATGTTCTCTATCGAAAAGGAGATAACTACAATGTTTCACAATCACCTCTTGGGAGAGCAAATGATCCGGGGAAGGCGGCTTTTCGCAGAGGACTGGGAGAGATTTGGTGATGCTGCATGAGGATTCCTCCCATTTCTTCTCTCTCCTTCCTCTACCAATGAACCGAAGCTGGCCTCCTTGCTGTTCTCCAATGGAGTGACAGTTGCGCTCTTGTTCTGTTTGCGCTCTATCCTCTTCCTCAGCCACACGGAGGTGGTAAATGATGCAGTCCATGAAGTTTTACATAAACACCCTCGTTAGAGAAATGGTCTTTTTTTAGCATCGATGGAGTAGAAAGGACCGTAACTAACTTGTGTCATTTTATGAATTTTCCGGAATGCGAGGGAGCAAATGGCCAAAGAATCAACCTAATCCAGAAAGCTATCCATTGCGAGACCAAACCACGCCGACAGCGCCAATTTCGCGGCAAAATTTGAACTCCTCTGCCTCCAGCTCCCATGGCGACGCCTCCAGCCGCCTCCATTTCCAGCCACCCCCGAGCTCCGCAGCCATGGCCGCCTCCCAAGAGCACCAGCCAGAGAGCGAGGGTCCGGTGTAGCGTCCTCGCACCGTCCGGCCAAGTCTTGGAGGCAGCCGCTTCTCCGAGGGACGCCGAGAAATCGCCAAACTGGCTCCCGAGTTCCGACGTGAACCTGCAGATTCAGAGGCTGTGTCGGTCGGGTGAGTTGGCGGAGGCTTTGAGGTTGCTCGGCTCGGCTGGGGTCGACGACCGGAGCTACGGCGCCGTCCTCCAGCTCTGCTCGCAGATGAGGTCGTTGGAAGGTGGGAAGAGAGTTCATTTCCTGGTTCGTGCATCTGGCCTTGGAACAAATGCAATGGACAGTGTTCTCGGGCAGAAATTGGTGCTGATGTACTTGAAGTGTGGGGACTTGGGGAGTGCACGAAGGGTGTTTGACGAAATGCCTCAAGTGAGCGATGTGCGCGTTTGGACTGCTCTGATGAGCGGTTATGCCAAGGCTGGTGATTTACGAGAAGGTGTGTCTCTGTTTAGTAGGATGCACTGCTGTGGGATTCGACCAGACGCATACGCCATTTCCTGCGTCTTGAAGTGCATTGCTGGTTTGGGCAGTATCGCGGATGGTGAGGTGGTTCATGGGTACCTTGAGAAGTTGGGTCTTGGCTCGCAGTGTGCGGTTGGAAATGCATTGATGGCTCTGTACTCAAGGTGTGGCTGTAACGAGGATGCTTTGCGGGTGTTTGAAGGAATGCCTCAGCGGGATGCTATTTCTTGGAATTCTGTCATCAGTGGATGTTTCTCAAATGGATGGCATGACAGGGCTGTTGAGCATTTTAGCGAGATGTGGTTTGAAGGCCTGGAGATCGATTCAGTGACGATGCTCAGTGTTTTGCCTGCTTGTGCTGAATTAGGTTATGAGCTTGTTGGAAGAGTGATTCATGGATACTCTGTGAAAACTGGATTACTCTGGGAGCTTGAGTCTCTGGAGAGAGGAGTAGATGAAAATCTGGGATCCAAATTGGTATTCATGTATGTGAAATGTGGTGAATTAGGCTATGCACGCAAGGTGTTTGATGCAATGTCATCGAAAAGCGACATACATGTGTGGAATCTACTAATGGGTGGGTATGCAAAGGTTGGTGAATTTCAAGAAAGCCTATTTCTTTTTGAGAAAATGCATGACAGTGGAATTGCCCCGGATGAGCACACCGTTTCATGCCTTGTGAAGTGCGTCACTAGTTTGTACAGTGGAAGGGATGGCCTAGTGGTTCATGGGTATCTTTTGAAGTTAGGTTTTGGTGCACAGTGTGCAGTTTGCAATGCAATGATATCATTCTATGCGAAATCCAACATGACTGAAGATGCAATCTTGGTGTTTGATGGAATGCCTCATCGAGATGTCATATCCTGGAATTCTATCATCAGTGGCTGCACTTTCAATGGATTACACAGCAAAGCTATTGAACTATTTGTAAGAATGTGGTTACAAGGACAGGAGTTGGATTCAGCCACATTGTTAAGTGTTTTGCCTGCTTGTGCACAGTTGCACCATTGGTTCCTAGGGAGAGTGGTTCACGGGTACTCTGTGAAAACTGGGTTGGTAAGTGAGACATCTCTTGCTAATGTTCTTCTCGATATGTACTCAAATTGCTCAGATTGGCGTAGCACCAATAAGATATTCAGGAACATGGATGAGAAAAACGTTGTCTCATGGACAGCAATAATTACAAGTTATACCAGGGCTGGTCTTTTTGACAAAGTGGCTGGGTTATTGCAAGAAATGGCACTAGATGGTATCAGACCAGATACCTTTGCAATTACCAGTGCTCTTCATGCTTTTGCTGGTAATGAATCGCTGAAAGATGGCAAATCTGTCCATGGATATGCCATCAGAAATGGAATGGAGAAAGTTATTCCTGTTACCAATGCGCTGATGGAAATGTATGCGAAATGCGGAAATATGGAGGAAGCAAGGTTGATTTTTGATGGCGTGACGAGTAAGGATATGATATCATGGAATACGCTGATAGGAGGTTACTCCAGGAATAATCTAGCCAATGAGGCTTTCAGTTTGTTCACTGAAATGCTGCCCCAGTTCAGACCTAATGCCGTGACCATGACCTGCATCTTTCCTGCCGCGGCAAGCCTTTCATCCCTGGAGCGGGGCAGAGAGATGCACACCTACGCCTTACGAAGAGGGTACTTGGAAGACGAATTCGTAGCCAACGCCCTCATGGACATGTATGTTAAGTGTGGTGCATTGCTGCTAGCTCAACGGCTGTTTGACAGGTTGAGCAACAAGAACCTCATCTCATGGACCATCATGGTAGCGGGATATGGCATGCATGGCCGTGGCAGGGATGCCATTGCGCTCTTTGAGCAGATGAGGGCAAGTGGCATTGAGCCGGATGCAGCCTCTTTAAGTGCCATACTGTATGCCTGCAGCCATTCAGGCCTGAGAGACGAGGGATGGAGGTTCTTCGATGCGATGCGTCGTGAACACAAAATAGAGCCCAGGCTGAAGCACTACACCTGCATGGTTGACCTACTAACCAACACCGGAAATTTGAGGGAAGCTTACGAGTTCATCGATTCGATGCCGATCGAGCCAGATTCAAGTATATGGGTCTCATTGCTGAATGGATGCAGAATTCACAGGGATATCAGGCTTGCAGAGGAGGTAGCAGAGAGGGTCTTTGAACTGGAACCTGAAAACACCGGGTACTACGTTCTTCTTGCCAACATATATGCTGAGGCTGAGAGATGGGGGGCTGTAAGGAAGCTGAGGAACAAGATCGGCGGCGGGGGGCTCCGGGAGAAAACTGGCTGCAGCTGGATTGAGGCCAGGGGCAGGGTTCAGGTCTTCGTCGCAGGCAACCGGAGTCATCCACAGGGGACAAGGATTGCGGAGTTCCTGGATGAAGTTGCCAGAAGAATGCAGGAAGAAGGCCATGATCCGAAGAAGAGATATGCTCTGATGGGCGCCGACGACGCGGTGAACGGCGAGGCACTCTGTGGCCACAGCTCAAAGCTCGCCGTCGCGTTCGGGGTGCTGAATCTGTCGGAAGGGCGTCCGATCCGCGTGACGAAGAACTCGAGGGTTTGCACTCACTGCCACGAGGCTGCCAAGTTCATATCCAAGATGTGCAGCAGAGACATCATATTGAGGGATTCGAACAGGTTCCATCATTTTGAACAGGGCAGGTGCTCTTGCAGAGGTTACTGGTAGCAAAACAACTGCTGTGTAACATGTGTTGCATTTCATTTACAGATGAGGTGTTCTTGTAGTACTATCATTGTACCATGCTGATTCCCTTGTTACAGTACGAAGAGGTTGCCTGTCACATTCACAACGTTGGGGGAAAATGACTTTGTAAGAAACATCAGTTACAGCTCTACAAAATCAGAAGGAAACCAAAAGATTTAAGCACATTTCTCTATCTTCGATGAACTACCTACACAAACCCAATCGTTCTATACCGAAACCATAAATATATAATGCCACGCAACAAAGACATACATGTCTATTCTAGCAGCACATCAGAGCACAAGATTTCAGTACCACATGACTTGTCTCATTACAAACAAGAGTTTCTGCAGGGCTCTAGAGTCCCATATAATGATATCCCAAAAGAAGAACCAACTGCTTGTCATTTCACTAGGACTAGTTGCAGTTGGATTGGGTTCATGAGTCAGGGCCAACATGCTGTGTTATAACCCAGGAAACTGTCCATAAGGTGACACCGCACATTTCTCCATCTATGGGAAATTATATACTTTGACCACCTTGGATGTGTCACACACAATCAGGTTATCTGAATCAGTTGGAGCAGTACACAACCAATTTACCTGCCAAGATATGGATCAGAGATCAGTATTATGCCTAGAAATCTCAATGGCAAGATAACCAACAAGATACGGTATTGGCGTTGTTAGTGCCACATCTAGCAAAAGACAATAATTCAAACAAAACTGAAGGTCTAGCTACAACCTTTTTCTTCACATCAATATCCAACACCAATTCACTATTGCTGTTTGTTTCAGGAGAAAATCCTTTGGACCAATCCCATACTTTCAGTGATGCGTCGTTACCACCTGAAACAAGGAACTTCCCCTTCTCACCAAACGCTGAAAATGCTCTGTTAAGTGGCTAATTAGTGAAACAGTGATATACGCAAGGAACACAGAAACAGCATAAAGGGACTTACACACAGGAGACAGCTGCAGTATGGCCACCCATTGAGTAATCAAGATGGATCCTTTTCCCTTGGCATTGATTATTGCTCCCATCCCCAAGATCGTTTCTTTTCGAGCTCATGGCCAAACCGCCTGCCCGAGAAGGGCCTTTTGATTTTGCAGGGGCCAATTCATATTCTAGATCAACTACATCAACAACACCGTCCCCCCTTGCAACGGCACAAACTTTATACAACCCACCTAAAATGCCCTCTTCAGAAACTGCTACCGAGTGAACGAAAGCAGGGTTGAGACATTGCCCTGTACTACCCGAAGAATTGCTATTTTGCAATTCAGGTGATCCTGACATTCAACAGAAATACGTTAACCGATCCGCATCGGAGAATGGCGAAGTGAAAAATAACAGGAATACAGCTTTTCAATGTATCGACAGATCTTTTCCTACTATATAAACCAACTAATGCGACTCTTCGTTCTAATAGACACATAAGAGCTGCATTTAATATGCCTAAAGCAAGTTTCATGAGGTTTACTAGGAACTGTTAGGATGCATCATCATCAGGACAAGACATAAGTATCAGTTTGGAATAGCACAAGCAATATAAGCTGTGTACACGATTTTAATAGAAGAACGAGGTACCATAATCAATAGAAAATAGTGCTCGCCCTTTGGAGAAATCCCACACAGCAAGCTTTGAGTCAAGGCCACCAGTAATTGCTGTCAAATCAAGACGCTAATACATTTAAAATAACATATCAAAGATAGACATATAACAGTTCTTCCCTTATCAGTTGTAAAAAGAAGGAAGACGCAGGAGCAAATAAAAGTGTCAAATAAAACAAAGAAAAAGTGAACAATAACAATAACCTGTCCAAGGTCTCCAAGGAATGAATTGTACACTGCTGCAAATCTGTTGAAATGTTGCTAAGGAAGACAGGTTGCAGGGCAACAGAAACATTAAACTGGGAATAAGAATACGCAAAACAAAACTTAAACACTGTTATTTGATGAAAAAGTACGAAAATCTCCAGACCATGTAAGGATACACTTGTGTGGGCTTCCCTCAATCTTTTGTACAAGCACTTTTGAGTGGTATTGACAATCTGTGAGAGGAATAGTCGAACTTACGAAGAGTGAAATAATTGACGAGTTATTATGCCAAAGAAGTAACAACTTATTTCATTCAAGTTTCTTCAGCTTTAAGATACTAGAGCATCCAAAAGCCCAGATCTAAAGTTATCCAACAATCCTCTTACAATTCAAATTTATGTTCTAATCCCCCTTGGTTCTAAGTAAGCAGACGATATATAAAATCAGTACTTTTGAACCTAGAATGATTTAATTCTATTATTTCGAAAAGATCTTCTATACCTTAACATCCCCACTGTCATCTGCAGCAGCAAGATAGCCTTTAGAACTCACAGCAATCTGCATAAAATGTGGAACTCTTAGATTCTACCCTTGCTGGACACAGTTAAATGTTAGTATCAGGCCAAAGGGCCTAAGATCCAGTAATAAGAGAAAATTCACAATCACAGCACCATTTCACACCGTAATAAGAAGACTAAAAGGAGCGGTGTTGCAGATAAAATAAAACACCTGGTTGATTTCATCTCTATTGTAGTTATATGTCTCCAGTGGCTTTGATTGAGATCCCTGCAAGAAAACTACTTTAATCATATTCCCAGTGAAAACCAACGCAAAAGTCACAACTTCGATTTGGGAATACAAATATTTAGTGGGTGCTCGCTTACCATACGAATATCGAAGGACAAGATTTCATTTCCAGCCGATACATACACATGATCTTCATTTCCTATCAAATGAAAACAAATGACATGAAAGTGTGTGAAGTTTGCATGTCGCACAAAAAATGGGATGAACTTCTTGAGATGTTTGGAGGGCATTACTGACCTGATTTAAAACAGATGGAAGAGATAGGTTTATTTGCTGCCTCAATGGTCAAGAGCACATCTTTGGTGCGCAAATCAAACCAGCAAAGACATCCATCCTAAGGTGACAGAACAAGCTATTAGAAGTTTAGAACATGAGAGATTACCGAAGGGCAGAAACATCAGAATTACCAAGTAGTGTGAAATTATATGCCTAAGGTTCCGCAGTGTTGAATAACGATTAGCAACTTACCATTGCAATTTGTGCAGAAATTGAAAGATCTACATAAGGAAATAACCTACTGGTCTGGGAGCATAATACCAGGACTTCCCAGTACCTTTACAAATATTTAGTGTCGGGTGCCATTTCTCATCTCAGCTTAATTACTGGTACTCCCTCCGTTCGGAATTACTTGTCTTGAAAATGGATGTATCTAGAACTAAAATACGTCTAGATACATCCATTTCTGCGACAAGTAATTCCGAACGGAGGGAGTACTTTCTACTGAGCATAAACCATTGCCAATACTTCTGTGAGAGGCGAATGCTGAGAAATTCATCGTGCGGTATCGAACTGAAATGCCATCATGTACTCATACTAGCATGAGACCATGAGAAAGGTCATTGGGTGTTCAAAATCTGTTATCCTGGCACTACCTCACAAGGGCATTGCATTCTGTACAATAGTACAAATGCTATTCACAAGATGTGTTCCAGTTAATCCTGCAGCAACGAGCTCAATGCGCATCCAGAGAAGCAAGAACATCACTTGGCTGCATAGTTTGCCTTCCCACCCCCACCCAGTGCAGCATGTCCAAATTAGCTCGACCGCTTCCTGCTAAAGCCTCCATTGACAAAGCCAATGCGAAGCAACCGGATTCCATTGCCAACATTGCACTATTACGGCAATCGCAGAAAAGCGGCAGGCCAGCCACGAGATTCGGCCACTATGCCAGCCAGCGCCCACGAGGTGTTCGACCGGTGTCCTGACCGAGAGAAACCATGCTACAACAACTAGGGGCAGCGCGAGGACGTCCCCCGCGGGCTACAGGGTGTTGACGCGAGGCCATGGAACGGGGCAACCCTTTTCTGGGAGAAAAGCCAGAGGCTCAGAGCGAGTAGAGGCGCGTACCTCGCCGGAGGACGCGACGACGCCCGGGCGGGCGGAGGACGCTACGCAGCAGGTGACGGCGCCCTTCTTGTGCCCCCGCAGCCGCCGGGGCTTCCGCTCCGTCGACGTCGCCGCCGCCGCCGCCGTTTCTGTCTCGGACATGGCGCGCGTGGCCGGTGAAGACGCGAGGCTTTCTCTTCCCCCCTTGACCCTTGTCGTCGGCGCAGAGGCTGAGAAAGCACGGCACGGGTGCGTGTGACCCGTTCGATTGAAGTATGAACGGTCTATATGAGATCCTCGCTCGTTTATTTCAGAAGACTAGGGGGGCAGACCCCCACCCTAGAAACGGCGGCTCGTCCCGGAGCTGCTTCCGTTCCACCAAGTCCGGCGACTCCGCCGGCGAGTTTCTTAGGGGAATGCGGACCCCTAGAACGAACGCAGCACAATATTCGTCCGTGGACACGTAAGACGCGTTCACGGACAATAATACGGGAGCCGATCATCCAACCATGTCCGCATAAATTTCAAACGAGATTTAAACGAACCGAATGATTTTCATTTGTACCATACACATTCATCATATTTTTAACATATTTCATTAAATATGAGCGACCAAAAGTTAATCTAGTCCAAATTTTCACCCGCATCCGTCCTTCAAGTCATTGTTGTTTTCTACTCTTTCTCATCGGAGTTCGCCGCCTAGATGTCATTGGTGGAGGTGAGGTCAACGATAGACATGGACGAACCGGCCTCTGGCAGCGCGGGAGTATGCAGCTCAGGAATAAAAACACCTCCAACATTCACTTACCTTCTGCGATGTATTTGGTCTTTGTGCCGATAATGCAAGAGAAACGCTTACCTTCAGCAAACCGATCGCGTACGAGCGCCCCGCCGTTTTCATGTCCTCCGGATTGACTCTTGTCAGACGGTCGAGAGCAACCCCCTCCATGTCCACGTTCTCTACAACCGAGCCTTTGTTTTAGAAAGAGAGTTTGCAACTGGACACCTAAGTGGGGCTTGGCGGAGACTCGTGCAGCTGGGTGGGCGACAGAGGCGAGGATTCCAGCCGGATCTCGCGGATCCGACGAGGATGGTGCGTGGGGACATACAGGGCGGCGGGCCCCCGCGGGGTTGGAGGCTAGTTTCATGGCGAGGACCCGCGACGGCAGTGGTGCACGATGCTCCTACGACGAGAGACAACAGGAAGAGGAGGATGGCGGCGAGGCGACCAGGTCGGAGGTTCGATGCTCGTCGGCAGCGGCGCGGAGGTGGGGGCAGGAGGTGCTAATTCTCCCTCACCACCATTCGGCGGGGACTCGGCTCCCCTGACGTACTGCAGGGCGCAGTTGGGTCACTGACAGGTGGGCCAACTTGCTTTCGGGCCCACCTGTCAGTGGCCCGACTGCGCCCTGCAGTACGTCAGAGGAGCCTCGTCCATTCGGCGGAGCTCGCATCGAATGACGGTGGTACTTTTTTTTTGCAACCTTTTCTCTGTTGCAAGAAAGATTTTTTGTAACATCAATCATGTTGCAAACCTTTCTTCTGAATTATTTTTTTGCGTGACTCTGAAACATTATAAGAAGGTGAAGACAAAAAAATCTGCAACATTACAACTGTAGCAAAGTTTTTTGCAACAATACATTTGTTGCAAAAGTTTTCTACACTTAGACCTATGAATAAGACCTTTGTTGCCAAAAATTCTGCAACAGCAGAGTTGCAATGATGAAAGACACTGCTTTGCCGCATGATGACATCATATCAGACGACAGTGACAAAAGATCCGCCGGCCGACGGTAGCATGGCCCGTAACACAACGGGTCATTTATTGATGCGCAATTACTCATGGTCGACAAACTACTGAGCCGGGAAGGGAAAGTGAGGCTCAAAATAGAAAGTTGTCGAAGCAGAAAAAGATACAATGCTGATTTTCTTCCCATTTCATCTCTTTTTTGTCCAATCTTCCTTATATACGTTTCGCTCTTTCTTTCTCCCCTTTGATTTTTTTCCTCACATTTTCAGTTTTCTCCCATTCATCCTCTTAAAAATAGAATCAATTGTCTCATGTCTTATTAACTTATGAAAATAAAAACATATTTTGTTTAGTAAGTCATTAAATTCTTATCAAATAAATGCTTAATAGCAATAAAATGACAGGTAAATCATAACGATTGCATACAAGAACTTGCCAAGATTTTAGTGCATCAATATAATAATGAACGTGCAGTTACGGGCTAATCTCCCAATGTTTATAGAGAAAATTCTTTATTTCACACTGTCTTAAAATCTGGTCCCTTATTTGACACTGGAAAAGTTTTTCTTCCCTATTTAACACTAATCCTAAATTTTATTCCCTATACGGCACTTCTGTCCATTTTGAGCCTAAATGACACCTGAAAAGACGATTTTGCCCCTCATGCGGTATGTGTGTGCGCGCGCGTGCGTGCTGTTGCATGTGTGAGTGCACGCGCACATGTGTGCTGCTGCTGCGTGTGTGTTTGCTACTGCGTGTGTACGTGCGCGCGTGCGTGTGTGTGCTGTTGCGTGCCTATGTGCTGTCTGCGTGTGTGTATGTGTGTGTGCTGCGTGCGTGTGTGTTGCTGCGTGTGTGTGCGCGTGCATGTGTGTTGCTGTGTGTTGTTGTGTGTGTGCGTGTGTGTGTGCACGTGCGCGTGCGTGTTGTTGTGTGTGTGTGCGCGTGCGTGTGTTGGTGCATATGTATGTGTTGCTGCGTGTGTGCTCCTGCCCTCGCACTGATAATGCGTGTGTGTGCTATTGCCCCCCACACACATATCACATGAGGGGCAAAAGAGTCTTTTTAGATGTCATTTAGGCTCAAAATAAACAGAAATGCCATATAGGGAATAAAATTTAGAACTCGTGTCAAATAAGGAAGAATTTTTTTTCCTGTATCAAATAAGAAAGCAGATTTTAAGATAATATCAAATAAATTTTTTTCTCATGTTTATACTCCGTTGCAATCGCATGGGCAATTGGCAGTCAATGTATAAAATGCAAAAGAAGGAAGCACACATTCACCATCTCAAACTCCCAACTCACCGGTACTACACCAGGCAATGCCCTGCTCCTCGTCATCTGTATTTCTTTCGTTTCTCCAGGGTGAAATTCACCATCTTGTGTTTCTTAATTGGGCGAATCAGATCTACGAGTGGAACGCAGGATGCCACCGTCGAGATCTAGGAAGCGCCCTTCGGGGCCGCAGCCCACCACCGCGCTCGCAAAGAAGCGGCACTGCCCCGCGGCGGTGGTCTCGGACGATGTCGCCGGCGCGGCAGCACCCTCGTCGCCGTCCTCCTACTCCCCCTCCTGGGCGTCGCTTCCAGGGGACATGGTTCGACAGATAGCGTGGCGCGTGCTGGCCGGCGATTTTCTGGATTACGTCCGCTTCCGCGCCGTTTGCACCAGTTGGCGGTCCGGCGCCGTGTGCCCGCGCGGCCGCGGCGTCGCCGATCCACGCTTCCACCCGCGCCGCTGGATGATGCTGCCGGAGGGCAACGGCCTCTACCCCGGCCACCGGAAGCTGGGTGGCCACATCCGCTTCTTCAACCTCGACACCGGAGCCCTCGTCCGTGTCGAGCTCCCCCTGTTCAAGAACCACTGTGCTCTGGAATCGGTCGACGGCCTCCTGCTCCTCCAGAGAGACCAAGACACCGCCGTCCGCCTCCTCCACCCTTTCACTCGCGACATTGTTGAGCTCCCACCGCTTGCCACCCTCCTCACGCAGCTGGGCGACGATCTCCGCAGCGCACACACCGACCCCGAGCTGCGGAAATGGTACTATATCAGATACTGCGTGCGTGCCTCCGTTTCCTGCAGCGGTGGATCCGTCGTCGTCATGCTCGCGTTCCGTCGTCTGATGCGTGTAGCCTTTGCGACCTCCGACTCCCAAGACCAGCAATGGACCATGCCAAGCTGGGAAGTCCCATTTAACATTGCGCCCTTGGCATTCCAAGGCAAGCTATACTTTGTGCACCATCCTGCAACTAATGGCTCGCTGGTTTTCCAGATCGACCCGCCCCTGCCGGTTGGTTCGCCGCCACGGCCGCCAAAGCTGATTGCCACATGTCCGGCAGATAAACTCTACAGGGGCTCCCATCTGGTAGAATGCAACTCACAGATCCTGCTTGTTGGCCATGGCGACATTTCCTTAAAGCACATTGTGATTTACAAACTCGAGGACCTTATCTTGGAAAGGTTTAGAGCATGATTGGATACGTTTTAGTCCCATGACTAAAAGTAGTGGGACTAAAACTTGCTAGTCTCACCCATGCTTGGATCCAAATACTAAAGAGACTAAAATCTAGTTATTGAACATTTATTATCCTCCAAACCCTCCAATCCAGAACTAAGGAGAGGAATTAAATGAGGAGAGAGAGAGCTAATACATATTTTAGTAGGTTTCCCATGACTAAAAGATTTTAGCCTCAAGACTAGTCCTAGCCTCTTTTTAGTCAGGGGTGCTTGGAACTTTAGCCTCTAAAAGAGACTATTTTTAGTCAGACTAAAAATAGTCCCTTGTATCCAAGCACCCTCTTATCCCGCTGACAAGCATTGGAGACCGCGTCCTCTTTCTCCAAGGGAAGTGCCTGAGTGTCTCCTCCACGGCGCTGCCCACTGTCATGTCTGAAACTGTTGTCTATACCCATCCGATGTACTATCATTATGCACAATACCACCTCAAGACCGGTGCTTGGTCTCAACCAATCGACACCTGCGGTCTAGATGGCTTTAACCCGGGTCCTCGTAGCCTCATCCACCATGTCATTACTTGCTGCATTCGCAATGTCTGGTATGGTACTGGCACTCCTACTTTGTTTTTCCTCACCACTCCCTATTTATATTGTCACAGTTGTTCCTAGATCATGTTAATTAGCGGGCTTAATACATTCTTTTTTTTAGGAGTTAATACATTCTCCTTGTGACCCTTGTAGGAACAAAGGGCTATTATATTCGAAAAGGCTAGAAAATAGGCTTCCAACGCTTCTTTGGAAGGTGAAGAGAAAGCTTCGTTATTGGGTAAATTTTACTCGCATATAATCCTTTCTTTTTGTACTAGCAACTCAAAGTGATTAATATATTTATACTTACCACCTTTAGTTTTATTATCCTAACAAATAAGCAACCAACCATCGATCTAACTTGGA